GGGGGGCCTGAAGCCTGAGCGCCGCGTGTTGTTTTCTCCCGCCAGATCCGGCTGCCGCCCGAGGTCAATCGGATCCTCTACATCAGGAACCTGCCGTATAAAATCACCGCGGAGGAGATGTACGATATTTTTGGGAAGTACGGGCCCATCCGGCAGATCCGAGTGTAAGTCTTGCCGTTTTCTTTGGGTCCTACGGCCTTTGCTCCCTGTTCTCTGACAGTATTACTGCTGCAGCGGGTGATTTCCTAGCAGAAAAAGGCACTTTGGCAGGATCCCTGTGTGCCAAAGACGAGTGTGATTGTGGTTCTCTTACGTGTGAATTCCCTAGAGGGCAATATTGCCAGTAGGTGGGTTGAGAAAGTTTCAATTTTATGTGAACTCAGGTGAGCTGGTAAAAAACATGAGAGATTTACTCTCTTAAGTAAATCTGAAATGCAGGTAACCTGTAAACTAAAGGTAAAAACAGGAGAGGCAGAAGTTAAATACAGTCAGTGTTTAATGAGAGTTAGGTACTTAACTAATGGGAAGACAGAGATGTTGCTGGTGCTGCTGAGCCTGTCGACCAGAAACAACTTCCTGTGTGTCAGGGGCAGCTTCTCCCCGAGCCACCTGCTCTGTGAATGGTGCTGGTCTGACTGCAGGCTGGTTTCCAGACCCCTGAGGTTATTTATACGTGTCTGCTGCAACCCTGAGGCTCTTCTCCTGTGTTGTTTTAAATATTGAAGACCTGGGCTGTGATGTTGCTTGTTACCCTTGTCTGAACACTGTGGGTTAAACCCTGATTTCAGCTGGTTAGTGTTATGATCTGCTAAGATTTCTAGTTGGCTGAAGCTGGAATTCAGGAAGAGCTCTTGAGAACCCTAGTAAAGATGAGTTGGAATATGGCCACTTGGTTTTTTTTCCCCTTTCTGGAAGATATTTAGGGAAGGGAAGGGGAGGAAACAAAACTTGCTGTTTAATACTTAAAAAGTCACATTTCAAGAGATGCACAAATAGAAAGGAAAAGCATTTTTTATGTCATGTGGGGGGTTTTTTTTGGTACTGCTTTTATCTGGATGTTGGCAAAATAACCTGCAGCATCTCTTGAGTTCCTGACTAGGCTGCTGGTTGGATGAGACCAGAGGGTATCCTTGTCATTCCTGTCACTCTGCATTTCCCCCTGCACTGAGACTGGGGGGGGTAATTAATGCACAAGATGTTTATTAATAGTTTTGACTACACAGGGCATAAATAAAGAGTTAAACAGACTGAACTGGACCACCCCAAACAAAAGGGCTCACTTCAGAGCCACAGTGACTCAAATAATTGTTCAGTGTGGGGAATAAAGAGAATTTTAGGTGGAGAATTTGCCTTCAGTAAACAAGCCAGGAGGTGGGGTTATGCTGCTGATGGTGGAATGTGTAGCTGGTGAGAACCTTCTCCTGCAGAGAAGGGTAACAGGAGTGACTGGAGAAGCAGCTAAAGGGGCAGCTTAAACTCACTGCTTGGCTGAAGAGGTGGGCTTGTTAACCAGCAAAAGGAGAACCAACACTTCAGGTGTCTGAAAACATGTGGGTTGGAGCATTGTGGCAGTGGGACCTGAAGGACTGAGATGTATGAGCAGAGTTTTCCCTCAGTTTCACACAGCACCAGGAGCTGCCAGCTGCCTCCCAGCTGGCTGTTCTTCTTGCACTGTTCCCCAGGGAAATCCTAACAGTGTCACAGGGCCAGGCTGGGATGGAACCCCCTTGGTCCCGACTTCTGGGCTTTCTGCAGTTTTGACCCCACACTCCTCTGCACATTGGGACACACCCTGGTGTGGGTGTGTGGGGTGCCCTTTGTCCTTGGGAGTTCTCTTCCTGGAAGCAAGGACCTCAGAGGCAGTTCTGGTGAAGATGGGGTTGGCTGTAACTGCCTCCCAGCTGGGATCCTCTGGACCTGCCAGCTCTGCCACCTCTCCAGGCCACTTGGCCTGAGGTGTCCAGGCGTTGCTCCTGCCCTTCAGGCGAAGGAGGTGGAATGGCTGATCCTGCAGTGGTGGCTGTGCCTCTGCAGTGCTCTGGCCCCAGCAGGGCTGTTTTCCATCTCTTAAATTGCCTTGGTGATGTGCCCAGAGCTGTGTTCCAGCCCAGGGAGACATCCAGACAGCCATTAACTGACAGCCAGGGCTTCTGATATTAAATAAAACAAGCTAATTGCTGCAATAAAACTTCAGGTATTGCCAGAAACACGACAGCTCCTGACAGCAGCAGTTTCTGATTGTTGAGGAGAGGTGCATTTCCCTTAGGGAGCATCATGCAGCACCTGCCTGTGCCACATTTCCCTCTCACTCTGACCTATAAGTGGAGATTGGTGTGGAAAGCAGGGATGTGTTTTAATACCTAAAAAAACCCCCATTGATAACTTGTTTTGTTAGCAAAGTTACTTTAGTTTGACTAATCTCAGTCGCTGGGACTATACTATACCCACTACTACTATAGTGGAACTGTTTCCTGTTCACTTGGTTTCACTTGAAAACTGATCTTGCCCTGCAGTGGGAACACTCCTGAAACAAGAGGAACTGCCTACGTGGTCTACGAGGACATCTTTGATGCCAAGAATGCTTGTGATCACCTGTCGGGGTTCAACGTGTGCAACAGATACCTGGTTGTTCTCTACTATAATGCAAACAGGGTATGTGCCCCCCGGGGGGTTGAGGTTACCTGTGAACACAGCTGGCACCAAAAAGAGCTTCAGTTTGTAAGGGTAGTTGTTTGGGTATTTTTAAGAAATCAATCCAAATGGGTAGAGGGAAAACTGTCAGGATTTAATCTCTACTTGGTGATCTGCCTGCAGAAAGAAAGGACCTTTGGGCTAAGGGTGTGAAAAATGTTTTTGGTGAGTGTACTTTGGAGAAGAGGCAGCAGGGGCTTCAGGAGGGCACAGCTGCTTGGGAGGCCTTGTGTGCAGGGGGAAAGTCTCCAGGTCTGTGTGCTCTGCCTGTTGCTGGGTGTGCCAGGGCACTGAGCTGAGCAGTGCTGTTTGGCTCTGATGCTGGGGTCATGTTGTTTACTGGCAAATAATGTGGTAAGATGAGATTTTTTCCCTTTTTTTTTTCTTCTTCTCACATCTTTTATTTTCCTAATTACAGGCATTCCAAAAGATGGACACAAAGAAGAAAGAGGAGCAGCTTAAGCTTCTCAAGGAAAAATACGGAATTAATACAGACCCACCAAAATAAACTGATCATTTTGGAAACTTCAAGCCCTGACATTGAGTTCTTGAACTCAACATAGGAACTTTCAATGAAGTATAACTTTCTTTTTTATTTTATTTTATCAACTGTAATATGACTCTCTAGATCTTCACAGTAGAATTAAATACAAAACATCAGAAAATTGGGCTTTAAGATTAAATCCACTGAAGTGGACATGGCTTCTCCATGTTGTAAGGGTGGCCTGGCAAGTGCTGTATAACCACAGTCCTGTTTCTAGCAGGACCTTTCAAGATGGGACCAAGCAGGTTGAGTGTTTCACACCTCCTGAAGTTCTGCCCTGTCTCCAGGGCAGATGTTAAGGATGTGAACCCAAAGAGCACCAAGGGCTCTGCATGAGCTGCCTGCATGGAGGTAAATTTCACTTGCTACTTTCTGAAAATGGAGTGGGGCAACTAGTTTCCCTGCCACAAGGATCTTTCTGCTTTTTTTAAAAAGAGTATGTTTTGATAGTTCATCCCACCTGTATATATTGTGCACAGTTTGTTGTGCCTTTCTCCCTCTGGGAATGTTTGAAGGAGCCTGACTCCATTATGTGATCGATTCCTGGAAACAAAGCAAGCCCAAATTGTGTTTGTGACAAAGTTTCTTTTACAAACTATAGGAAATAAACAGCCTTTTAAAATGGTCCCAACTGCTTTAGGTGAATTCAGTCAAAATATCTTGTTCCCAGTGATGGAGATGAAGCAGATAAGCTGCAGTGAAATCATCCTGCTCTGATAGTGTGTTGCTGTGGGGCTGAGGGATGAGATCTTCATGACATGCACCAGGTTTGCATCTGAGCTTGGTGGGAGCTCCACATCCTTCCATGGGAAGTAGAGAACACCCAACCAAACCAGACAGTAGATGATGGTGGTTCAGCCTCAGATACCTTTAGTGTGATTGTTTTCTACTCTGTGTTTGAACTGTAGTATATTCCATGTACATACATTTTTAGATGTAGCATCTGGTGGAGGAAAAACAAATTGAAATTTTTTGGCTCTTTTTTTTTTCAGCACTCATGTCCTATGAATAAAAGTAAAGTGTGATACAGAGGATGCATAACCAGTTTGTTTTGGAAGTGGAAAAGAATAACCTCTGCCTCTGTTCTGAACCAGCTGGAAGTCCTATGAGCATTGGCCCTCCTCTTGGGGGGATTTATTTGCTTGGATTTGATGTTTTAAAGTCCCTGACCACCTTCCAGCCAGTGCAGAACATGGGCAGATGCAAACATACTTTGCCTGAGCATTTGTAATTTAAGTTAAATTTGGTTTATTGCATTATACTGTCCTAAAGAAATGTTTCCATTTTCTTATCCTTAGATTTTTGGTGAAACCTGTTACGTAAGAACCATGTTGTTCTTATGCCCCTTTAGTAAAAAAATAAATGCCTACACAGTTGTCTTTTTGGTTTGTTTTCATCAAGGCTTGTTTCATGCTGTGCTGCTTCTGCATGCAGCCTGTCACTGGTCACCTGAGGGGCTGTGATGCAGGTAAGGACTTGCAGGGTCTGTCCCAGGCGTGTGGTGAAGGACACCTGGCTCTGGGTGCCACCCTCCAGCTGGCAAAGGCAGGAGGTCCCTTGCAGTTGCCATGTGCTGTGCACCTCCTTGCTCAGCTGGGGGGAGCAGGAGGGGTGATGGTGACACCCCAGAGCAGCAGGGAGGAGGCAGCTGAAGGGGCTCAGCTTTGGGTGGGTGCTCAAAATCCCATCCTGTGCCTGACCAGGGAATATCCCCTGAACCAGGTCTGCCTTGTCCTCTGCTGCAGAGTGAGCAACATTCAGTGTGTGTAGTAAAAGCCCTGCCCCTTGCTCTGGCTGCTCCACACCTCTGTTCTTCCCTTAAAACTGATGCTTTTTGCAGCAAGAAGTTGTGCAAGCCCCTGTGAGCCATTCCTGAGGTCTGGAAGAGATGCTGGGACACTTGGAGCCCCTGAGCAGCTGGGGCCACATCTCTGAACTCCTGAAATGAGGCTCAGCTGCCAAGTCATCACCAGCTTCCCTGCTCACCCAGCCCCTGCTGCTGCTCCCATCAGGTTAGATATAAACAAACACGCAGCATAACTCCTTAGTCAGGGATCCAAGTGAAATTTTAAGATACTTGCTCTTCTACTTTCACTGAATGCAAAGATCCTCTGTCCTTGTGCTTAGCTCAGCAGTTAACTCCTCCTACCTCAGTTTTCAGGTCTCACCCATCAGATCAATACAAACTAAAGCTTTTTTGGGCAGAAGTCAGTGTTTAAAAAGGAATTAAACCCTATCGAAGGGCTTGTTTCTGTGTGAACATCCATAGGTTTGTAAAGGTTTAAACTGCTCCCCCCATATGTATATGTCATATAAATACCTACACACACACTCTGATAATGGGCCTGTTACACCATTTGTTGGGCAGTTAGAAGGCCCCTTGCTGTAAGAGGAACTGGAGGTGCTTGTCATATGCTTCTAATAAATAATAAATAGTGTTAATAAAACACCAAAGTGCTAATAACAGTGCCACGTGCTGCCAGCCTTGTTTAGAATCATATGCAAATACTGCATTGCTTCTGTCAATAGAGGAGAGCACGGGGCTTGCACTGCAGTCTCTGTTTTCATGAGGATTTGATGCTGTTTGAAAAACATATATAAAAAGCAATTCTTTAGGGTAATAAGATTAATAAAAATTCCTTCAGTGAATCCTCAAGATCAGCAGCTTGTGATTTCTCTGAGAGCTCAGCTGCTGCCTTTCATTAAATATTCCATTTCATACTTTTTCTTCTAGTGCCTGTTCAGGGCTTTCAGTGTCCCTGCACATGTAAAATGAAATAATAATTTGTACCTGCAAGACAGTGGGAATGGAAATCGAATGCCTGGAGGATTGTTTTGATGAGGTCTGCTCAAGATTTTGTTTAAAATGTAATATCAAAGGCCAGGCAAATGAATTCAGTTATATATGAATGGCAGAGGGGGCAGGAAAGAAGGCAGATGTTACCAGCCTCCTACTCTGCATCTGTGCTGGTTTTTGTGTGTGCTCACTTCCCAGTTAATTTTTCAGGAAGTAGGGCATGAAATTAAGCCTGGAAGGTCATTTTTTTTCCCATCGATGCTGTTTAGAAACCAGCAACAAGAGCATATCTGATTACACAGGCAACAACAGTGTGTTTTTTCCAACCCATTATGCAGTGGTAATAATTGTACGTACTGTGTTGATCGATGATGCAATTAAATAAATTAAGGCATTTGCAGTAAGAGCTGAAGATTACATTTCCTTGAAGGCCTTAATTTCCCTGAGTATGACAAGGGACAAGTAGTTTTCCTTTCAGATTTAAGAAAAAAAGAAAGAAACTGGCACGAAAAAGGCAATAATCTCTGGTTCCAAGAAAGGTCTCTGTGGAGAAGGGGTGATGAGGGCTGGCATTCCACCAGCCAGCTGTGCTGAGGGGGTTACAGACTCAGACAGGGCCGGGTTGTGCTGCTGAGGGCACAATGCACAGACCCTGCAGGTAAAGACAGGAAGGCTGAACACGACCAGCTCTTGCAGCCCAGCGGGAGCACATTTTCTCCTGGTAAGAAGCCCAGCAGCAGGGCAGAGCTGTGCCCCACCCACGGCTGCAGCCAAAGCAGCGTTCCAGGTAGGCTGAGCCTGCCTTTGCACTGCCTTTCACTTCTGTGGCATTCAGGAAAGGTCCCAAACCAGGTCCTTTATGGGTTATTTTCCCTAGGAAGCTTAAACCGGGCCATTGGTAGGAACAGCTTCAGCCCAATGTGCTGAACTCACCCGTGTCTGACTGGTGTGGCACGGGTACCTTGCCTGGCTTCAGGACACCTCCAGGAGCTCAGCTCTGCAGCTGCTGCAGCTCAGCCTGCCAGCTGTGAAACCAGGAACAGGCCAGGGCAGTGGGAAAGGAGGCCAGGACCTTTGAAAAGGATTTGGGAGAGCTACTGGGCATCAAACCCTGGCAGGGCTATTAACAGGGAATTAGCCTGTACTAAATAAAATAGCTATTGTGAAATGTGGATGTGTAACTGTGCTGCTGCAGTGATCCTAGATTTCCACCAAGAAAAGGGTCCTGAAAGGCCTTTTGTTTTTTCATGGAAAGGGGAGAAAACCCCAGTATTTACTCCACCAACCCTTGGTGGTTATTACAGCCTCGGTGAGGCCACAGGCTGCCAGAGATGGGTTTTATGGGCTTATTGATTAACAAACCCTCCAACGTGGCTTTGTGGGTAAAATGACCATCTAGAGAACGAGGAGCAGGAGCTGTAGGCACTGGCCAGTCTTGCTCCTCTGTGCTCCTTTTGTCTCTCATCTCTAGGAGGTATTACCTGGAGATACCTGTGTAGCTTTGTGGCCTGTCTGCTGGTGCTGGGTGCGTCCTCCTCACAGAGTCACACAAGGACAGGGCATGAACACTGTTTGAAATCTTTCCATCAGAAAATCCAGTAGCTGAAAACTCTGAAAGTAGTTAATAGTCAAGTGAAATAACAAAAACATTGTGACTTAGTGATGCTCTTTTCTGCTTGTTTGTTTTTTCTGCAACAAAGGGGACAAATCAAGTTTAGGCAAAGCAAAATAAAAACACAGAGGCAGCTTTGCTGAGCAGGCCCTGCTCCTATAACCAGGCAACTGACAGTCTGTGCATCTTCACGTCTCCAGAGGAGGCACCAGCAGTTTATGGACTCATCTATCCATCAAATGAAATCAATATTGCTCACTCTTGAGTGCCAGGAGCCCAGGGCACACACTGGGTTTGCAGACTGTAAAGAGCATCCAAAGATGCAGCTAAAAACCCCTGGTGTGTTCAGTGGCTGCATCATCCCACACTTCAGCTTTGTTCTGTAAGGGGGATGCACATAATCCTGCTCTGCTCTAGCCTTTCTCAGCTCCAGGAGGAAATGTTCCTCTAGGCCATGTAGAGAAACAATTAACAACAAAAAAACCAAACCAAACAAAAACCCAACAAAACAAAAAAACCCCGCGAGTTGCTGACTGCTTGAAGAACTTCTTGTACCCCAAAAAGAATTCCAGTGGCCAGAGGAGAAAAAGAGGAAATAGAAGCTGCAAAGTATCAAGATTTTATTGTGTTTTATATATAGACTTTTAATTCTTAAATGAGACAGTAGTTTTTAAAACAGCAGCAAGCAGAACATACAAGTTGAGAAAAGTGGCAGCGCAGGTAACTCTGGTTGGCTAATGCCCTTTCATGTACAAGGTGTACACTGGATTATTTGTTATTGGTTTTGAGCACCTTTTGTGTTTTTGTTTGTTGGTTGTTGTGTTTTTTTTTTCTTGGTTTAAGTGTACAGTAAGGCAGTGGTTTTCAATAAGGATTATATATATTTATAATTATATATATTTTCAATCATCACTGTGAATTATTCTTACATGCAACTTAAATAAAATGTACAACTTGAAAATGTTACAACAGCAGACTTTTTTTTTTTTTTTAACTTTTTTTTTTCTCCCCAAAGCAAGGCTTCTAATAAAAGGCAAATACAGACACCACAAAGTTAAAAAAGAGAAGGCAGGTGTAAGACACCCAGAGGCAGGAGCTACTGACAGGACAGCTCGAGCAGGGAAGATTGGGATTCCAGTGAGAGAGAACAGATGGTTATTAACAGATGTCTCCAGCCAGCTCCTTCCAGAAGATTCACTCTAACCTGAGAAGCTCCACATCAAAGAGGAGAGTAGCATTGGGAGGGATTACCCCAGGGTGGCCTGTGGCTCCGTAGGCCATCTCAGGTGTGCAGGTCAACTTGGCTCTTTGTCCTAAGCTCATCTGGGTTTTCAATGTTGGAGAAAGGAAGAAAGAATACAAAAATAAAATAAAATAATAAATATATATATATATATATATATATACATTAGGAGGAAAACAGAGAGCAAGTCACTATGTGGCAGATTTACAGAACCAAGGAAAGTTGGGACCATTGGAGTCATCTTTCAGGTGCAAGCTGAAGCTGCCAGAAAAATCTCAGATGTAGGTGTCCTGACTCCTCTGGCTTCTGGCAGCAGTTACTTAAATTGCCAGAGCCAGTCTGGGCGTTTTTTAACACTTAGGTTTTCTAACACAGTTTGGTCCATCGTGCCTGCTCTGGAGCCATCTGCAGGAGGTACAAGTTCCCTCTGCAGAGCACAAGGTATATGTAACACCATCAGGAGGCGTTAGGAAAAGGTTTCTCAGTAAAGAGGTAGGACCTGAGCTCTGTATTCATGAGCAATGAGTTCTGAAATGCAGCGAGGTTCAGCTTCTGGAAAGTGCTCAGCAATGTTTTTCCTTCTGCAGCCACCACCAGGGATGACCTCAAAAAGCACTGCTCAACTGCTAACGCTCTAGGCACCCAAGCTGCTGCTGTTTGGTGGGTGCAAACACTGACACACTCCTAGTTAAAAGAGGTACCTGTTCCCAAGGGCAGACGTCTCACCTCAGGTGCTGCAGGCACTGGCCAGTCTTGCTCCTCTGTGCTCCTTTTGTCTCTCATCTCTAGGAGGTATTACCTGGAGATACCTGTGTAGCTTTGTGGCCTGTCTGCTGGTGCTGGGTGTGTCCTCCTCACAGAGTCACACGAGGACAGGGCATGAACACTGTTTGAAATCTTTCCATCAGAAAATCCAGTAGCTGAAAACTCTGAAAGTAGTTAATAGTCAAGTGAAATAACAAAAACATTGTGACTTAGTGATGCTCTTTTCTGCTTGTTTGTTTTTTCTGCAACAAAGGGGACAAATCAAGTTTAGGCAAAGCAAAATAAAAACACAGAGGCAGCTTTGCTGAGCAGGCCCTGCTCCTATAACCAGGCAACTGACAGTCTGTGCATCTTCACGTCTCCAGAGGAGGCACCAGCAGTTTATGGACTCATCTATCCATCAAATGAAATCAATATTGCTCACTCTTGAGTGCCAGGAGCCCAGGGCACACACTGGGTTTGCAGACTGTAAAGAGCATCCAAAGATGCAGCTAAAAACCCCTGGTGTGTTCAGTGGCTGCATCATCCCACACTTCAGCTTTGTTCTGTAAGGGGGATGCACATAATCCTGCTCTGCTCTAGCCTTTCTCAGCTCCAGTAGGAAATGTTCCTCTAGGCCATGTAGAGAAACAATTAACAACAAAAAAACCAAACAAAACAAAAACCCAACAAAACAAAAAAACCCCGCGAGTTGCTGACTGCTTGAAGAACTTCTTGTACCCCAAAAAGAATTCCAGTGGCCAGAGGAGAAAAAGAGGAAATAGAAGCTGCAAAGTATCAAGATTTTATTGTGTTTTATATATAGACTTTTAATTCTTAAATGAGACAGTAGTTTTTAAAACAGCAGCAAGCAGAACATACAAGTTGAGAAAAGTGGCAGCGCAGGTAACTCTGGTTGGCTAATGCCCTTTCATGTACAAGGTGTACACTGGATTATTTGTTATTGGTTTTGAGCACCTTTTGTGTTTTTGTTTGTTGGTTGTTGTGTTTTTTTTTTCTTGGTTTAAGTGTACAGTAAGGCAGTGGTTTTCAATAAGGATTATATATATTTATAATTATATATATTTTCAATCATCACTGTGAATTATTCTTACATGCAACTTAAATAAAATGTACAACTTGAAAATGTTACAACAGCAGACTTTTTTTTTTTTTTTAACTTTTTTTTTTCTCCCCAAAGCAAGGCTTCTAATAAAAGGCAAATACAGACACCACAAAGTTAAAAAAGAGAAGGCAGGTGTAAGACACCCAGAGGCAGGAGCTACTGACAGGACAGCTCGAGCAGGGAAGATTGGGATTCCAGTGAGAGAGAACAGATGGTTATTAACAGATGTCTCCAGCCAGCTCCTTCCAGAAGATTCACTCTAACCTGAGAAGCTCCACATCAAAGAGGAGAGTAGCATTGGGAGGGATTACCCCAGGGTGGCCTGTGGCTCCGTAGGCCATCTCAGGTGTGCAGGTCAACTTGGCTCTTTGTCCTAAGCTCATCTGGGTTTTCAATGTTGGAGAAAGGAAGAAAGAATACAAAAATAAAATAAAATAATAAATATATATATATATATATAAAAATACATTAGGAGGAAAACAGAGAGCAAGTCACTATGTGGCAGATTTACAGAACCAAGGAAAGTTGGGACCATTGGAGTCATCTTTCAGGTTCAAGCTGAAGCTGCCAGAAAAAGCTCAGATGTAGGTGTCCTGACTCCTCTGGCTTCTGGCAGCAGTTACTTAAATTGCCAGAGCCAGTCTGGGCGTTTTTTAACACTTAGGTTTTCTAACACAGTTTGGTCCATCGTGCCTGCTCTGGAGCCATCTGCAGGAGGTACAAGTTCCCTCTGCAGAGCACAAGGTATATGTAATCCATCAGGAGGCGTTAGGAAAAGGTTTCTCAGTAAAGAGGTAGGACCTGAGCTCTGTATTCATGAGCAATGAGTTCTGAAATGCAGCGAGGTTCAGCTTCTGGAAAGTGCTCAGCAATGTTTTTCCTTCTGCAGCCACCACCAGGGATGACCTCAAAAAGCACTGCTCAACTGCTAACGCTCTAGGCACCCAAGCTGCTGCTGTTTGGTGGGTGCAAACACTGACACACTCCTAGTTAAAAGAGGTACCTGTTCCCAAGGGCAGACGTCTCACCTCAGGTGCTGCTTATTCTGGCAGAGAGCCCTTGCCCTCGGGATGGACAGAAATGCCAGTTCCTCTCACTCCAGGCTAGCTCTGGAGGTAAGAGTGCTCATCAAGTTTTGGGGTATCAAAATACAAAGCTCTGCTCTTCTAAAAGATTAATTTGGGGTGGAGTATTCTCAAACTGCTGTTTGTGCACCACACACTTGTGATCAGATACTCAGTGGCCAAGAAACAATCCCTGATTTGACTCAGTGACTTAACTCAGACACCTCTCCCAAGATCAGGCACATCATCATAGAATCACAGGATGTCTTGGGTTGGAAGGGACCTCTAAAGGCCATCTAATCCAACCCCCCTACAATAAGCAGGGACATCTCCAACTAGAACAGATTTCTCAGAGGCCCATCAAGCCTGACCCTGAACATCTCCAGGGATGGGGCCCCCACCACCTCTCTAGGCAACCCATTCCAGTGATCCACCACCCTCATTTTAAATAACTTTTTCCTCATGTCCAGACTAAATCTGCCCTTCTCTAGATTGAAACCATTACCCCTGGAGTCTTCTCTTCTTCAGGCTGAACAGCCCCAGCTCCCTCAGCCTGTCTTCATAAGAGGTACTCCAGCCCTCTGATCATTTCTGTGGCCCTACCACATCATTGCACAGACTATGCACGATATCCCATGAAATTTTTGTTGAGGCTCTGTAAAATATGCCAAAGCTAGAGCTTTGATGACTTTAGGCAGAAGGAAAATGTGCATTTGAACTCTGCCCCATTCTAGGAGTATTCATAGCATGGGGCTGATGATGTAAGAGCAGATGACCTCCCCCAGTCCCTGCGAGGGTTTGTGTGGGGCAGGCTGCTGAGCATGGGTTTTAGGCACAGGGCAACCTTGAACTGTCAGAAGTTGAGCAGAGAAGTTCTAGAACTCCTCAAAGGGACTGCTCCCTCTCTGGCTGGAGAGAAGGAAATGTTTGCATTGCTTTCTCCATAGGGCTGGAAATAATCTTCTCTTCCACCCCCTCTCTGGAAAAGCATGGTTGCATCATTCCTCAGCGGATTGTTTGTCACTTTGCATTCTTCCCTTCTCTCTATTTAAGCATAAGAAGTTGTTTCTGTTGTTCCTATAGTAATATTTCAGAGTTTCCTCCTAGTTCTAAGACTCTAAAATGAGGAGTCACAAGGAGTTTTCACCCTGATCTCATTCACTCTTGCACCTGAGGACCCCAATGGCACTCCTGACATGCTGGGCCCTCACAACACTGCAGACAAAAAGCAAGGGTTAGCAGTGAATTGCATGGTCTGGCTCTGAAGGGTTTTACTGCCTTGGCATTCGAACAGTAATTCATGGAGGTCAGTTTCCTTTTTCTCAGCAAAGGGTTGGTCACTGAATGCATAAATTTTGTTGCTGGGAGCCTGAAGTAATAAAAATTTAACAGTGCAGTTCAGCAAGGGTCTAAATCTGTAGCTCAGTCATGAATGTCACCAAAAAATAGAAGCTTGGACTTCCATGAAGTAGCTGAATAGGCCACTCCATAAAACACTGCCACCTGGAACACCTGAGAGGCCACTGTTGTCTATTTGTTGAGCTGCCCATGGGAAAGGGACAGGGCTGATGTGGCAGATGGGCACTGAGGGAGGGGACTGTACCTCTCCACTCTCAAACGCTCACAGACACAGCAAATGGAAAGCCTCATGAGCAGGAGATGTCCCTGGATGGATGGAGGAGAACTACAGGAAATACTGTGCTCAAATGTACCACACTTTCAGTAAAGCTATGAGTTCCACTTGGTCTTGCCACCACTGCACTAGACATTGCTGTGCTCACACACCCTTCAGCCAGCTTGAAGTCCAGCCAGAATAATTTATATGTACCTGTGTAACACCTTCTTCAAATCCTTTAATGACTTCTTGCCTGCCAATCTTGAACCTGAAAGGCTTATTTCTG